TACAACTGACGATGATAACGAAGAACAAAACAGGTGTTCGCTTTGCACCATACAAGCTGGGACAAGTCCGGTTCTGCTTCGATAAAATATTTGGTATACATCGGTATAGGAGCAAAATTTAACCGAAACCGGTGCAATAACGTCAGTGTGAATTACCCAGTAAAAATAATTGACCGGACCGAGAGCGGCCCTGTAGTGGGAATCAAGCCTTAGAAAGCTGCATCAAATGTTCTTGCGTTTCTGACTCTTGGAAGTTATACATGTAAATTGGTGCATTTCACTGTTTTTGTTTTCTTTTCTTACTAATTAGCTGTTTGTCTTTGATTAAGGATCCCTTTTGGGACGATAACATAAATGTATTACAAAACTACCTCTCTAACAGTGTCTAATTATTTATTACATATGTATAAGTAATGTTTGACCATTAAAATAACCACGACATATACGTACATATTATGTACGTATAAAAAGGACTTAGAATATCGTCTAATCTAGCGGCAAGTTAAACTCCACTTGATGAGGAATTCGAGTAGCTGACCACTTAAGCGCATTAAAACTTTCGTTACCCTGGTAACGAAACGTGCCCCCTAGCGAGCAGCAAGCAAACAGGGCAGGCACACATCCTTCCAGGGTAAAATACGAAATGAAAGTGTGATTGCTCGTCATCAAATTTTCGCCAGTGCGTCACTTGGCAAGTGTTTAGGGGTGTTAAAACGATTAGTAATGAATATTCAGGGACGCTCAGTAGTCAACCTTCGTTCTAATTATAATTTAAAGGATATGGAATGAACTAACCTGCTACTACTCACGTACATGACATGTCTTTTCCATGAGCAATTAAGTTTTGATTTTCAATATCGTTTGGTATAAGTAACTTCAAACAGATACTTCACAATTATTGTCTAACTAATAACCGTAGCAAATTTAACAAGTTTTAGTAGTTTACGCCTTGTTTGTTGAAACGTTTTTAAACTTTATAAACTCTGCATGATCGTTTCTATTATTTATTTATTTATTAGAAACTGGAAATACAATAGGATAGCCAACCAGCATTTCGTCGCTTAATAATAGTTGAAGAAACACCCGCGGTTGTCGCTGTTTACTTTTTGTGTTGAGGATACTTTAGAAGCTTTTCCAGGCCCGTCGCGTAACAGCTGTGCCGATTCTGTAAAAGAAAGTAACTTTCAAAGTTGGACAAAGTAGTTCCTTTCACGTACTTTTATTCTCTCTCTTTCTATCCTTCTTTTTTCTGCACCTACGTTTAAGTATACCTATTTGCGACTGTCAACTTCCTGGAATCTAAAACTTCCTTGCAAAATTTTCTCGCCCAATACTAGATCCTTATACAATGCCTTCGAAACGCAACAAAATAACAATAAGTAAATAAAAGACAACAATAAAGTTTATGAACTCTGTTGACCAAATCATTAGTGGCAGATAAATAGTATTATCAACTGTAAATGATAAAACTGTTATAACGATCTTAGCTAAGAGATTGAGAATAAAGGAAATTCGAATGAATGAACATATTCGAATAAATTCGAACACAATTTCAATCCTTTTGATTCCAAAAGTATTATTCCCTATCTTTTTGCTTTTTCATCTCCTTGCCATATTTTGTCCCTTAATCCGTTGCTATATGTGATTCCGTTCATACACAACATCAATGCGATTTAATTATAATCGCAGAATGATGACTACGGGATGATGCCACATGCGGAACGGATTGTGCTTAACTCGGCGTATCCTGCCGAGAGCCGTCGCTGCCGTCGCGGCGCCTCATTATCTAATTGAGGCGTTTTCGAGTTACTAACCCCTAATCAAACGTAAAGGATTCGCTGTTTGTCTACTGGATAGCTGCTTTCTTATTACCGATTCTGCCGACTGAGTTAACCTCTGTCTACATCGTTAACATAAACTGCCATCAGTACAAAATCCTGACGTTCTCAAAACTGTATTCTGCATTTGCTACAAATTTTCTGATACATACTCGTACGCATGACCTGTTAGTTCCTTGAACGACTACAAGCAAGTCGTGGATTTTAGTGGGTCACTCATTATACAGAACAAAGTCAAAAACCTAGAATATTTTAGTTTTGTGTCACCCTTAATTAATTAACGGTAGCTCATATTATGAAAAGTGCTTATCATCATCATCATCATGATCACCATCAAAAGGTCGTCTGTCCTAAAATTAGTTGAACACGCACTTCTACTCTTTCCTATGCCGAGCTAATCTTCGCATTTCCCCAAAACTAGAACAACCCACATCCTTAACTATTTGCAAACAGTAATCTAATCTAGGTCTACCTCTACCCCTCCTAACTCCTGTTTCTGCCTCTAATATGTCTCTGACTAGACCTTCATGCCTGAGAAGGTGTCCTACNTGAAGATAAAAAAATAACAAAAACGAAGGCTGCTTTCAATTCGTTAAAGATGTTTTTCTTTATAGAGGCTCGCAGTAAATAACAAAATTTTCACGAATAAATCATAATTAATGTATCTTTTATAAACTTTTGTTACTTCCTTTGTGGGACTACTGGTTCCCACTGATTAAATAAGGGTGCTGGCAAGGAGGTTGTGAAAAATCATGATGATGATGCATGAAAGGGTGTCCGCAGTGATAGTTCTGGACGCGGGTGTCAGACACCTTGCGGCTTTTTAGTGATAATCGCGATATCATCGCCAAAAAGGAAGTTACAACACAATTTATCAAGAAAAACTGTTTAAAATGTACAAAAATTTTCATTATACTCTGTTATTTCCTATTGCTTGTTAGTTATTAGTTGTAAGCACCAAAATCTTTACTTGGATACACGTACACCCCTTAGCGTGAAAAAATAAAATAGATTTAGAACCAGAAAAAAGGTAATAACCAGTTAATTTCAACCACTAAAAGGCGTACGTCTGTGAGATGGTAAATAATTTTGTTCCAGTTGCAGTGTAACAGCTGCGTGCAGAGCTTGGGGGTTAAAATAGAGTTAGAGTGCTATGTATAAGAGAAAAGCTTGGGGCCTATGTTATATCTAAATAAATAGTTTCAAAGGGGACATAACAATTAATATATATATATACACAACTGGGGAGTTAAAAACACGACATTCGCACTAAAAAAATCAACGTTATATTGTTTCGTCATTACGCAAACCAAAAACTTTTTACCTCTAAAAATATTGAAGGAAGCGTTAGAGATCGATATCACATTTAACTGATAGTCAAAACAAACCTGTAGAAATAAAATTCAAACTCAAAGAAAATAAACCGAACAGTGGCATCGAGTACACATCACCCCTTTTTGGAATTGGAAATTGGACATTCATTCTAATTTACGAATTAAAAATTAATATCACTTTGAAGTGGATATGGTCAAATTAGCTACCAAAAATATAAATCATTAGATAATTAGCCGCAAATTAGTTGTAAATTAGCTGTTAGAGCCAAAAATTAGCCACGGTCCGAAAAACCCGAAAAACCAGTTCACTTGAAGTTAGCATGTAAAAATTGTAAAATCGATTAGGAAAATCCTATACAGCTAGAAGTGGACTCAAAATTAGCCGTAAATTAAACGCTGATGATGTAGACTACTAACCACGGAGTTCCATTTTTTTTAATAGCGTCACTTTTCTATATTGACGACCCGACACAATCACTACATCGAGAGAGACGCTTTAAAAAATTCCCTAATATGCCATTAAAGCCAAAAATTAGCCGCGACCCGGAAAAACCGAAAACCAGTTTGCATGATAACTTCAAATGATGTTAGCATCCAAGAATTACACAATCGGTTAGGAAAATCTTAGACACTTAGAACCGGTCTCATAATTACCCGCTAGTTAACAGCTAATGATTAGACTACTAGGGAGTTCGACTTTTTTTTCCATCTTGACAACCCGACAACCGCTACATCGAGAGAGATTATAGTTTGGCACTCTCAGTCCTCTTTGAATATTTCGTTAAGATGAAAAAATGACCGTATTGTGATAAAACAATTTGAACCCCCCTGGTTAAGTAGTGTACATCATCAGCGGTTAATTAGCGGCTAATTTTAAGTCCACTTCTAGCTGTCTAGAATTTTTCTAACCAATTTTACAATTTTAACCGTTAATTTGCGAATATTTATCCGATAGTTTATATTTTTGGCTGCTAATTTTGCCGGGGGGAAAAATTATCAAAGTAAAATATATTAAAAATACTCGTGAATAGTGCATTTCCTTGTGTACTTTTCCGCCATTAAAACATAATAAACAAAATAAAAATAAAAAACAAAAAACAAAAATTCCCGGATACGTAAAATAAAAAGATAGGTAACAAATAAAATTAACAGAATTAAAGTGACGATTTTTTCCACACGATAACTAACAAAAGAGACAACAACTTTCTGTTAAAAGTAAAACAGTTAGTTGATGGCGCTAGAGACTCATTAGCGAAACACAGGATATTAAAACACGTAAAGCCTAGATTAGTAGAGTAAAACACACACACACATACATACATCTAATTTACATTTTATTTATTTTGAGACATACATATGAAGTATTTATGTTTCAATAAATTTAAAAAAAAAATAATTATAACCATAACCAAAAATACAAAGTTTTTAAATTTCTTGTCCTGTGCCTTTTAACAGTTAATAAAGAAGCGAAATCACTAGATAATATTAATTTTACTATATTAGAGCTGTATAAATTTCAGAAATTATATTTAACAAAAACTTTATCACTTAGGCATCAAAATGTAAATATATCTTTTGTCTACGTTAATCATTTGTATTCAATTAATGTAATCTGAATAAAGGATATTTCTCACATTTACTTTTACAATTTCATAATGCATTTTTTTTAACACACTAAATAAAATCAAGGAATATTCTCAAAAACACAATGCAAATGGACTCACCAAGGATTTCTTCGAAGGAACGAAAGAGTAATTGAGGATTAATTAATATAACAGGGACAAAAATATAAATAACTATAAGGAGTAATTATGTGATGGAAACTTACAAAACTTACCTCCAGTCTGTCAGAGCGAGGCATTTTTTGTTGCGTAACCACAGTTTGAGGTACAACTCCAAGTGGCGAACCAACACCAGTAGGGTCCGGACCTACTATCGTTGGCATTATTGGGCCTGGTGCAAAATACGGACTGTATGTACTACCAACTTGTGGTACTCCAGTGAGATACGGATTGGTGGCCTGAAATTTATTTACAACAATGTAGCTACAGTAATGTAGGCCACCTTTTTAAATTTTTTAATCCGTGTTGGAAAAACTTCTGCTCCGATATCAAACAAATTGCAATACACTGCAATGTAAAAAATGTTTATCTAATCCATCAAATGAGGATCGCGATTTAGATATTAGTAAATCTCAGTCTCGATAAATTGCTGACTTATAAAGCTCCTAATGAGTGAGTACAAATACAAGTAGTGTACCGCCATCTAGCGAGTATTTGCTGCTACTGAAGTATTTTATAATTTAATTGTGCCGTTTTACTAAGAACAAAAAACGCACTTAAAATTACCACAAGTAAAAAGGCAAATTAGACATTAGTCTAGAAAGAAGTGGAGGTGGTGCATGTAGAACGAATTTTTGAGTACCTAATGCCCTTCTGATTGTGATGAATTATTAATGCCCTGCACCTCCACCATATAGTTTTAATATATCTAAAAGCCATAAAAAAGGCTCGCACATTTACAACTATTTCAAAACATGGGAGATAAAAATGTTAAATGTCGATTTATTAATCATTTCCATCTGTTATGAATTTATAGATTGATTCGTTCTTGTGTAGAGAAACGAGTGCAATGAACGAAACTAATGGGAAGCTAATGTTCTGTTGTGTAATTGACCTTCTGACACGACAATAATACAATGAAAAATTGCTATCACCTTTCGCTCTATATGAAAATTATAAACATAATTGAAAATACGCCATTTGTGTAGAGAATATGAACAAGCTCTACGGGTTTTTATTTCAGCTAGAAACAGTAATTGGTACAATTGTCCCTGTGTAACAGAAAACGCTGTTGCAGTGAAAGCTGTTCGATAAATTTTATTATGTTACAATCATGATTAATTTTTTTTAAAGAACTTATAATGGAAAAATGATTTCTCTTTTTAAAAACTAAAAAACTATGTAATATTATATCATCACTGAACTAGTGTACCTGAAGCCTTCCTCGAAGTATGGGCCTTTTAACTAAAAATAATTTTAAATAAATTTCAAAACCCGATGCTAAATGGTTGTAACTTTTTATAATATTTATAACTACGGATTTAGTTAAATGTAGATGGGCTCTTGATTAATGTGGTTATATTTGGTTTTCATATTAAATTCTACACAGGAAAGTTTGGATATAATGACTCCGTTTAAAATGGCATATCGTTTATTATGACTAATTCTCAAGAAGTCATATTCGGCTATAGTGACCCAAATGATGAATAATAATATTTTTTTTTACCCTTCTTATGTATTATAGTATTACGATTCATAGTTTGTTTTTCATTTTCTGTTAATAAATAAGAACAATTTGTAATTTTTACTATTTTACTATTAAACTAAATAACTAACCAAAATAGAAAGTTGTTTATTTTCTATGATCAGGCTTTGTATGACGCGTTTGACATTTCCTTTCGATGTCATTATAAGCGGATTCTACTGTACTTAG